AAGTTGAAATATGATTTCTCTATTGTACAAGTCAAATGGCTAGAAAACTACACAAAACAGGAGAAAGCTGTTCATTAGATTCAAACTCTAGCAAACAAGCCCTCTTTTGTGCTCGCTTAGAAAAATGACAAGTTCACTAATATCAGTGCCATCTCACTGATACAGAGGGTAGGCTACCAACGTTCAACATGGAGGTATCTGGAGGTGCCACTGTTTTTTCTGGGTGTGAGACTGACAGCTTCTGCTCCCCAACAAAGTGGCACAAGGCACAATGGAGCAGTTGTGCAGATTTCAGACAATGGAGGGCAATGACTGTCATATCACTGGACCACAAAATCACTGCAGGAGATAGCCCAGTGGCCAACCGGATTGACAGGCTTTCAAATGGAAAAAGCAGGGATATCCTAAATCAGGATCAGAGCCTGGAAGAAAATTACAGTTCAGGACATGTTCTGAATTTCGGAAATTAGTCACCTGACTTTCATGGGTCTTAAGGTACTTAAAAAATAAGCTGTTTTGTTTTTTTAAGGTAAGGACATACAGANAAGTAGTACTGCACTATATGGTGTACTTGGAAAGAGGAGGCGATCCCCTGACACTAGGAGGTCTCCTGATCTCTTGTAGAAATTGCTATATATCTAAAGAAGGGGACTTTCTTGCTACTCGCCAGACAGGTCAGGCATTTCCCATGATTTAAGTAGATAAGTCCTTACTCATAGAAACTTCAGTTAAAATATCACCTTTCACTGAGTCATTAAAAGCAGTGTGCTTTCTTTGTGTGTGATTTTTCACTTCTAATAAAATTATAATGTTATCTGAGTGTGAGTAGTATGTGTACGCGTATGTACACGTGTGTGGGTAGCTAGTTAAATAGGTATACACCTGTAAGCATTTCAGATCTGCAGAATGGCTTCTACACCTACCTGTGTGACTTTGCATGAGTTATTGAACTTCTCTGTGCCCAGTGTTTTCTTTGTAAAGTGCTGACTAATAATCCTACCTAGCTGGGTATTATGAGGATTAAATGAGCTAATACATGTAATACATTTAGAACTATGCTCGGCAGAGGCTTACTAATATTAATCATTATTGTTAACCACTTCACATTATCAACTTATAAATATATATATTTTAAAATTTATATCTACTCAACTATATTATCTGGACTTAACCATTCTTGGTTGGTAATAAATAAAAGACTTAATGTTATACTTCCCTCCTCCCTTGGGATTTTTTTTTTCTTTTTTCAACTTGGCAGAGTGCATAATGAGAAGTCCTTGAGGAAACCAAACAAGAGCAATGATAAGTCAATGACGATCTAAAACGGTACTTAGGAAATGTTTTTCAGGAAGTTAGGGACTGTGTACAGTTAATACAAGGTCATTGACTTTGGGTGATTGGGGTTATATGCTAGGAAAATCACTTATATATCTTTTGTTGAAACATAGGGTTATAACCTGGCTCATTCTGTCATTGCCACTTCTACCTACTTACCTACCTGTCTACACATACACACACACACACACACACACACACACACACATACACACACACACACCACTTATATTTTGCTTGCTGAAGAAAATGAATACAAACATTGGTATAATCATCTTCAAACATATACAGGTATATAAGGAGAACTGATGTTAAAAAGCTATTTAGAAATCATCTCACAAAAACGTGTTTTATATGATAGGTTTAGCATCCATTTAACTTTTATGAGTAAGCTAATACACCATATAATATGTGTTTTTGTTTTTGCCAAATGCATGTTTATATTTTCAGGGTCTATTCAAAATGAAATTGAAGTGAATATGCTTATTCTTTTGTTAATATGTGCATTAGTACTTGATACCGAAAAGATAAAATCCTTGTTCTTTAGGCAGAGGGGAATTTTCCCAATGTCAGTAAATGTTTTCTTGTTTTATTGTAATTTGTTTTTGTCTTTCGGAGGTTTTTTAGTAGTCACTTGTCTCGCTCTCTTTTCTTCCTTTTGATCCAGTATTGAAGTCACAGTTCCACCTGTGCTTTATGTATAAGTGAATGTAACACTAACTGCTTTGACTTCAGAATCACAGCTGAGATCAGAGACAAGGATTGTCCCTACCCACTCTGTGGCTTATATCATCTGTTGTTAGAACTGGAATCATCAAAAGGATACATGAAACACACATAGATGGCCTCCAAAATACAGGGCCCTCTCCACTCACTAGCAAGTTGCATTATCACATCACTCGTTCTCAGAGCAGAGTCCAGAAGAAAGTAGATGCAGAGCAGACAGGTTTTTACCTGCAGGGAAACAAAAGTAATGGTTGTGGAAGGATATGTCCGGCTAGGACACTCAAATCAGCTTGCTGCCAGCCAAACGTTTGAAGAGGAACCCNCAACTACCTACCAGGTACTCATTCACCAAGCAAACCCCAAGTTTTCGAACACCTAAGAATTTCCTCATGTTTCCACTTTTCACTCCTTTTGCCCCATTCTATGTTTATCTAAATCTGACCTTCAAAACCCAGCCAAAAGGCCACTTCCTTTATGAAAAATGTCTCTTTTTTCCTAGCCAAAAGTAATTTCTCGCTCTGTGTTCTACTGCCTTTTACCAGTTTCCATCATAAATTAGAGATCTCAGAATGACTATTTCATTTCCTCTGCTAAACTGTTACTTGCTTAAAGTCTGTACCTACTTTATTATTATTCTCCTCAATGTCTAGCACATTGTCAGAATTAGCATATTAACGTATTTGTTAATGAATAAATTACCTCTTTTGAAAAAGAAATATGAAAAGGAAATGTTTAATTTTTCTTAAAGAAATAGGGGTATAGAGAGAAAGATGTAATTTTGTCCATCTCTTCTATGTAATCTGAATCAGATAATTGTTGAATAGGATAGATATTTCCATTCAAGGGAAATATGCTTTTAAACTAAACTGTAATTATTAAAGCAACAGCTTTTATACATCTCGGGGTGACTATTGTATGCCTTTTGTAATATTAATAACATAGGAAGCCCTCCCTCTGTGCAGTAAGATTAATTTATTATGCAGTGAATAGCTAGAGAAAGCATCATGCTCATTTATGCCACCTACTAACCCGTGGGATATGATTTAATTTTGATGAGCCTCAGTTTCCTCATCTTTAAAATAGGTATGATCATTTTCAGTCTTGCCTATTTCACAAATTTGTTGCGAGAGATAATAAGGTAATGTAAGTGACAGCACTTTGTAAACTGTAAAATTCTTTATAAATGTAAGAATATATGAGGGAGATCAGTGTAAGGGACATTCAAATAGTAATATGACTAAGAGAGATGATGGGTAAGTAAATGACTAAAACAGGTCAGCTTCCTTAGGTCATGTTTATATGAAATACCTTGTGAAATGCTTGAAGCAAGGAAAGGTTTTGCTATGCAGTAACTTGTTCCCATCACAAGAAACAGCAATTCCATAAAGGCAAATGTTAAAGATGACTGAATTATTACGCTTTGTTCATTCTGTAAAGTTGCAAATTCAATCTGAGGGATCCTTCTAGACGAGAGAGTTCCAGGCCTGAAATAATCATCAATCTAATTTACGTATTATTACCATTTAGGAAGGATGATTTTATTATCATCTCTCCTACTATTGAGGTCAGTTTAGCAAACATCTAAGATCTTTTCTATCATACTTCATGGCATTCTGAAGTTTTAATAAAGTTGCTGAAATGGAATATAGATTGTGGCACCTGCAGGAAAAAAAAAAAAAGATTTGAGCATTTGCTTATTCCAAACACCACCCAGCTCTGGAATTCATCTGTAGAATCCCTGTTATGTCCAGTCCTGAGCTAGATGGATCCAGTGCAGGAAAAGGGATGGAAGTTAGCTGCTATCCCTACATCAATTACATAGAAATATGATCTCCTTTCATTTCTGATGTGTGGGAAAGCTTCGGTTTGCCTCCTATGCAGAACAGACACACTACCATGTTGCTGTTCCCCTGCTCACTCTGGTCCTCTTGGCCATCCAGACCCATGGCACACAGTTCCAAACTAGCTAGGGCAGGGAACAAATAAATTTTCAGCTTTAATTCCCTCTCTCTTTTAATGAGTCTTTCTTAACACTTCTATAGACATTTTCTAAGAGCACCAGCTCTAGTAGGATTAAACCTGCAATGGATTTTGCTGTTGCCTTAGAAGTTCCGCTTTCTTTCCCAAAGGAGCCACTGAGCAGAACTTGTCTTGACTAGCAAATGAACCCCGAAGAGTTCAAGTCACTCTGGCCCCTCTTAGCGCCTGAACATGGGCCTTGGGGATTATAGGCATTTAGTAGCTACATGATCAAAATGCCACGATGTCTGTAAATTATTTTGCTAAGCCTCATATTGTGCTTATAGTTAATGTCATTATTTAAAATTTATTATTTAGACTGGTAATAATTAATAAATGTAATGAAATGTTTGCATCTTTTATTTTGGATAAATTTCATTTCCATTCAAAGAGCAGTAAAAACTTAACTAATCATAACCAAAATAAACCATGTTTTCTTCCCTCCTCTCTACCCCACACCCCAAAATTAAAAATTTTTAACAGCGTAAAAATTGAATTTTAACTTTATATCCATGTCCTAATTAAAACATGAGTAGTCAAGTGAAACTACCATTGCCTAATGACTTTTTTCATGATATTACTATCATACCATGTAATCATATTGGAGGGTAGCTGGTTTTCCTATATATTAATATTAGAATTCCCTGGACCACAGTTTACAACTTCCAGATGTCAGATAGAAAGTCACCTGCTCCAAGTGGGAGAAGGAAGTCGTTTTTCATAAGCCATCATGATTTGGGGCTGACCTGATATGGAAACTAAGGACACGGAGTTCTGTTTTCATCAAGCTTGATGAACTAAAATCTTGCTGGGTTAAAAACTACATGTAGAAATCAACTTTCTATTTTTAATTCCTTTATATCAATCTGTGTTTATATGATATATGATGCTTTAATACCATCTCTCTGTTTCTTTCTTAGAAGACAAAGGGAAACTAAAAGTCAACACTTCCAGTCAGCCGTCAAGCTCTGAAGGTGGCTCATTTCTCCTCAAATCTGGCACAACCCCCCTGCCACCTGGAGCAGACACTTCTCCCTCCAAGAGCACAAATGGCGCTCCTGGTACTATGTCGGAATCAGAGGAAGAAAAGGCAAAAAAACTGCTTTATTGTTCCCTATGCAAAGTGGCTGTGAATTCTCTGTCCCAGCTAGAGGCACACAACACAGGTTAGCAGCTATTGTTGGAATTCAAATAAGGTTTATAACAAAATACAACTTTTCCCATCAGAATACCATATCTTTTGTTGTTCACACATTAGGTTTGTTCACTGTCTTCTCTCCTTTTTTGATTCAGAGGTATGATTTTGAGAAAAATATGATCATAATGACTTTAGGAACAGCAAGGAACAAACAGGTTGGAGATGAAACTTGCTGCTGTTTTTTTTTTTTTTTATTTTCTCAAAAAGATCTAATACTTCCCAAAACTCACTTATCAGGANGATTTACTGAGGATCTATTAACTTATGATTTACTAGGGATATGTTATAAACCTTTCTAAAAAGCAAAACCTTGGATAGCTCCTTCAGGCTTATCTCACCATTAGAAGATATTGGAATATAAAAGGATTTTGTATGTACATTGAATAATTTTGTAAAATCACAGCCATAAATGCTCTTGAGATGTTTTACCAAGGTTATTACTTACATTTTATGACATTCCACTTACTTGCTTCGGGAAGAAGTCTCTTACAGTGACATATTTTTCTGAAATTGGTGGATGATCAAATAGAACTACTCAATAAATGTTGGTAGATTCTGTGTGCAGGGTACTGGTGCTAGGCAAGTTGGGAGATTCTGGGCCCGATTCTGATTATGCTTGCAGCCTAGTGCCACCACACAAATTTCGCTTTATAGTATAAAGTTTTTAAATGTTTTTTATAGAAACATTTCTATAGTAGTTTCCTCTTCCCTGACTTCTTTCTCTGAGGATCAGGTTTACTATTATGGACATTGGGCATAATATTATGCAGTAATGGTTTGGTGCTCTCACTTCTATAGACAGCACTATCCAATAAAGCACTCTGTGGTGAAAAAAATGGTCCATATCTGTGTTATCCAACCTGAGTGCCATTAGCCACACATAGCTATTCAGCACTTGAAATGTGGCTGGTGTTACTGAGGAACTGAATATTTTATTTTAAGTAACCACACACGGCTACTGTATTGGACAGTACATCTGTAAATGGTGGCACTCGTTGCTCTTTCGAGTAGCTGTGACTCCAAAGAAGACGTTATTACATTCTCTGAGCATCCCTTTTCTCATCTGTGAAGTGGGAGTGATGCCCTCCATAGATCATAGCAAGGGTGGATGAATCAAGTGAAATGATTATGAAAGACCTTTGCAAAATGTAAAGCATAATAAAAATGCCTATTCTTGACATAATTATTTGGGGGGGGGTTGTGGTTTGTTTTTTTGTTTGTTTGTTTGTTGGGCTTCCTGTGGTATCTTATTGCAGCTGTCCCTTCTTGCTGCTATCAGTGAGAGGTGGTCAGCTATCATCATCTTTCATTAGGCTGCACCTAATTGAGTATATTCCAGAAAACCAGATCCAAGCTTATTAGACTTATGCAAAAAATAATTTTAACAGCAGTACTACTAATAATTAATGTTAACTGGGTGATCGTTATGTGCCTGATACTAAAGTGCTAGACCTTTTATATATACTATCTTATTTAATGATTATAACAATTCTCTGATGGATACTAGAAAGTCAGACCCTAGAGAGGGGAAATAATGGTCAGAGTCATTCAGATAGAAAGTAATTTCAAGGCCAGAATCTCACCAGGGCAGCCCCTCAAATTCACTACCCTGATATGCTACCTTTGGAAAGGTTTGTGGACTTAACTGCACATGAAGCCTGTTTGAGATTTTTTTTCACTGGGTGATACTTATGGAAGTCTGAGATCTCAGAAACGTGTGTTATCCCTTTCCACACCCTATTGCATAACTGGCTTTGTTTTTTTAAAAAAGTTTTGAGTGGCTTTGAATCTGAATATATTAACCAAGGTATGATTCTTGTGCGCCATTTACTTACTTTGCATGGATAGCATAGTAAAAAGAACATGAGCTTGAAGTCAGATAGATTAGCTCCACTTCTCAGTGACCTTATAATCTTGACCAAGTCATGTTCACTGACCTTCTATTTCCCTATCTATAAAACGGGAGGGCTAGGACCTCCGTCCCAGGAGCCTGGATCAGTGCCTATAACTTGACAGACACTCAATAAGTAGTAGCCATAAAGAGCAGCCATTTGTTCAAAGAAATTTCCAGACCCTGTCCTTATCTTGACCCTGCAATCATTTCATGCCATGCTACCATGCAACAGTGGTCTACATTTACATTCCTCTTCTTGCACTTGTTTTATTATCTCGTAGTAATTATTGCACTTGTGTTTTCATTCCTGGACATTAAGACTTGATGAGCCTACTCTCCCAGTGGGACATTTAAAGATGTGGAGGACCTTTTTGGTCCCCCTCACACTTTTGTGTAATGGAGGAAAAATCTTTCTACCTATTCTCCCACTGGTTAGTGTATTCATCCATTATGTCCCCAGCAGCTCCAGGTACTTCATGCTGTACAGGGCAGTCAGATATAGTTAGCATATATGAAATTAATACCATTAAGTAGAATTTAATGGGGGAAGCTCTGGTGCCCTCCCTAGAATACAGACAGGATGAAAAGACATTGCTTAGCTCTTTTTTCTTCGTATTCAGTAAGATAGACGCCCCACCTCATAGGTCAACAATCTGTTGTATATACCTCCACAGTAATAAAAGAAGGGATAATCCAACACATCTCCATTTGTTAAAGAAGAAAATTGGGTGCTTCCTGTGGCAACCCCCCACCCCCTTAGAGCCA